CGGGAGATAGCCACCATAGCGCTATAATCGCAGAACCAATAAGCGAGTTGCTTATCTATTATTTTCTTTGTCTATGGATCGCCCATGTATGTCTTATGTAGATACTAGCATGCGGTACACAAGTCGCGACTTATTTATTAATTAAAGTTCCTGTTTGCTTAAAAATATCAACCAATAAATAAAGCATACAAATTATTATACACCATAACTCGATTTATATTTTTCTAACCCAATTACTTTTTTAAATAGGTACATAAAAAATATAATAGTTTCATTACTATTAAATAGATTTTGTAGTAAATATGTCGCGTATTTTACGTTGTAACTTATTGGTGACCTGGAGTACTTTTCGTACGATTGTTTGATCTCCTATATATACGTAATTAGTACAATGTTTTAAATAGTTTTGATTATTATAAAATATATTGATGTAATTAGGTACCTATATATTTAGTTAAAATATCATTTAGGAAGTTGATTGTTATTTTTACTTTATTTATTTCTATATACAGAGCGTCCACGAAAACTGTTTACAATCTTTAACTCATAAACGTTACCTAACCCACGTTACTCAGTAGGTAGGTAATCTATACATATTTTAGAAATCTGTCTGGGGAAGATTTGATGGTACAATAAATTTCAAACGCCCATCAGCTAGTATAGCTATGAATTTTTTTCATTTTATTTGCCAAGTACTTCTGTTACAACCTGTATATTATACATGGCATAATTAAAAAGGTGGGTAAGTGGATGTCGCTCTGCTGTACAGTAGGTTACAAGTGGGTCACTGTATAATGGATGGTATTAAATTTGAATTCAATGATATAATATCATTGTATAAGAAAAACGATTCTGAGCGGTGACGGTATGTCAGTCTATGTATAAGACATATTATATACATATCTATGGTATTAAACAAAAAATTGACCTATAATAGGTACCTATAATAAATTCCAAACTAATCATATCACAATATCCATTAGATACTTATAACGCGTTATACATCAACAAAAACCGTGATACTATCATAGATATATAATAGTACACTTTAGAAGTTTCAAGTACCCACGAATAATATTATTCAATCACAACAAAATAACTAAAATCGTAATTCTTGGTTTAAATATGAAATTTTGTCTAAATTTGAAATTAAAATGTCTGTAAAAAATAAGTGTGTTTATATATTTTTTAGATTCTTTGGTTACAGTATGAATTATTTAAGAGAATCTTTGTTTTAAATTTTCAACTCTTAGTTATAAAAACTGAACATTTTATAATTTTTTATTTCCAACGATTGATAATTTTCGATATTTTGATAAATTTTGTCAAAATTCCAACTTTAAATGCTTATAAAAAAAAATCGTGCCTATGTATTTTTAATATTTTTCAACTGATATTGTAACAATATATCAGGAGCCTTGTATTAAATTTTTACACTTTTTGGCCCAACAGATAAAACTTTATTGATATTTATAGAAAAAAAAACTAAAAAAATTGAAAGCTGTAAATGTCCATAAACAGCTCAAAAAGAGTCAAAATATTTTCAAAATTGTATGGCGTATAGAAAATACTAATTTAAACATTCAGTGAAATTTTCATGTATCTACAGTTGTTCGTTTTTGAATTGCAACAAAATAAAGAAATCGCTACATGAGTAATCGAGTGAATATCCAATGTTGTGAAAATTTGAATTTCAAACGCTCATAAAAATTTAACTTGACTGTCCGGTAGAGATTTTTTTATTGATAAAGGTAGATAATCTTATAAGGAATCTTGTGTTTCATTTTCAAATCTTAGATTTAAAAAGAAAAATTTTTACGAATTCTTAACTCACAATTATAAACAACCAGTGAAAATTTCATGTATATGCGTTCATTTGTTTTAGAGTTACACCAATAACCAAAATCGGTTTTTTGGAAAACCAATTTTGCGTAAAAATTCCCTTTTTTCCTTAATTTTTATGTTGTTTTTCCCGGCGCTTGTAAAAACTACTAGGAAATTTAAATTTTGACCTCCCCAATGCACCAACGATATTCACTTTCCAATCGAACAAGATACTGAAGTCGAAAATCGAAGCATTATTTCGACTACTTATCGTGTACACATACACAAAAATAAATAAACACACATCATTGTAAAACCAATACATTCATCGCTCGGCTCAGAATCTAAAATACCAATAAAGGAAACGTGGATTTTATCTGCAGCATTACATAGCCACATAGGATGACGGCTATAAACGTTTGTTACGATGACAGCTCCGTTTTTAGCCATTCATTGAGGTCTCGACAGACGGCGAAAAAAAATTCGTCCTGGAAAATATATTATACAAGTAGTAGGAACCTACCTATGCGTGTAATAACCTTTCTGAAACTAGGACATTCAACATCCGATGGTACTTAGGCTGGATGACTTATGACTCTAAAAATGTACGAAATACGAAAGACTCATGCACTTAAAAATGTAAAATGTATTTATTTAAATCGGAAAATAATAAAAATCATGCTGAAAATCTAATTAAAAATCAAAAAAAACTCAATCGATATGCTGCGATAATTTATATATCATAAAGTTATAAAATCAATTCATAATTTTAAATTTAAATCGGAAAAAAAAATATTGATGAGTGAAATTGAAATTAAAATCAAAAATTTTTTTTTTCAAACTCCGATATTAGGCATAGGGTTATTATACCTAACTCTGTGTAACATAAATAAGAAACCGAAATATTACTGATAATAATTAACCTAGTTATTATGTGTATGGGCGTATTGTATTATTTATGACTTTCAAAGTACCTAAATATGTATTAATTAAATTTAAAAAAAAATTTAACAAAAATGTAAAGTTTCTACCTACATATTTGAATATACGTACAATACATTTATTATAAGATACAATTTGGAATATAACATATTATACAGGGTGTCCCGTGAGGATTTACTCATTGCGATATCTCCTGAAATAATGGAGATATCGTAATTATGTTTTTTTATTAAGACTCGCAGAGGTAAGCACTACAAATATTTTATTTTTTAATTAAATTAATTTTTTTAGTAAAATAGTTAAAATTATTTTTGAAAAAATTGAAGATAGCCATTCTATAGAGTATATTTTTGTGAACATTTTGAGCTTTTAACATTTTATTTTCATTAATCTCATGATTTTTAATAATTTTTTTAGTTTATTAGTAAAACGTCAATAAACTAGTTTTTGTCCGGGCGGCGAGTCCCCCTCTACGGCTAATGAGTAAATCCTCACGGGACACCCTGTATAGAGTATTGTGTATCTTATTGTTGTATCTTTCCTACATTCACAATGTACCTTGTACCTTGTATCTAGATTCACTAAATTAATGTAAAACCATTTCCTTCTATTTTTTGAGTATCGTACCCACATCTGAGTATGTAATATAACACTAAACTGTGTACCTAATACATATAGGTATGATCTATAATTATAGGCACTTACTGTAGATAGAAAGTTTCTTCAGGCGGGTAGGTAGTACGAGTATTATATTTATAAATCTAAAACTGGAATTTTTTACAACACATTGAACGGTGAGTATTATAAAGAATTACAAAGCATGTGAGAAAATTCTATTTCGACATTTAAAAAAAATTTTTGTTGGGTAAAAATATAGTTAGCTGTACATACAATTTTAAATTTATTTATTCTCAACGATTTTTAAACATTTCGCAATTTCTTTTAAAATTTGAGTTTCACTCGTGTTCACACTCTATCAATAAGAAATTATGAATGACGTCAATGGGTCAATGAACTAATTTTTTAAAAAACACGCTGTTATTCTTTCTGGTTATCCGTCCAACACTTATACTCTTTTTCCGCTTGTCATGCAGCACTCACTCTTGACGAGTTCCAATGACAAAGTGGCGTCGAGAGGTCAGAGGAGCAATTTATTGACCTGGATGGGCAAAAGTATAGCAAAAATAATTTAAATATTCCTTATAAGTTGTTCTCTAGGCATTTATAAAGTAATGATACACAATTTTTTTTATTGATATAGGTGATTTAAGTTTAAAATTTGATGAAATTGTTGGATTGAATGAGAAAAAAAATTTTGTTATTCAAAAATATTAATCGTCGGGAATTGAAACAATAAAACATTGTACCTTTACGTATAACATTATTATCTTCTAATATACTATTCGGTTTTAAAAATAATTAGAATAATTTTTAGCTGTTAATACCATGAATCTATTATAAGACGCTATAATATTGTACCATAATAAAATTGTATGATATCATATTGCAATAATTATTATAAAAGTGCCTACTAGTTTAGCTCGTATCCAATTCTTCAAAAACTATACAAATTTATTTGAATAAAAACATTTTATTTTATTTTTCTTATAATAAAACAGAAACATGGATGTTTTATATAAGCTGATTTTCGTTAATAATAGTCTCAGAAGTGGACGACTGCTGTACGTGGGTTATATGCTGTTAAGATTATTTTAAAAAATATTGTCCCTGACATTTGTTATAATCGAAACATTTCAGTGCCCTCTTGATTAAGTGTGTTAATTAAATGTTAATCCTTGTTGTTTAAACGTTAATTCTGTTATCAATATTATTTATTACTATTGTTATTTTATCATTATACTTTATCACTCTCAATTTGTTCGATTGACCTAGTGCGGTTACAACGAGATATGTGAGGTTATGTTATTATCTTTTAGTCATGTATTGTGCCCCGTACGTTTTGTAATACTTTTTATACATTATTCAATACAGTCCGCTGATGCCGCAAAGAGCAAAAGCACGTTTTCTACATTACTATAATGCGTTTTTACTTTTTACCTAATTGCCCAACATTTTTGGTCCTAACGGGCTCGGATCACAGTATCATAAGTTCATTGATATAACGCGTCGCGTACGTTGTGCGTCGCGTTCGTATTCTCAGTAAAATCGTCATAGTGCGTTGCGTTACATCGTTCGTCGCGTCCGTATCCGTTGCCGAAACATCATAGTGCAAAATGGATAAATTACGAAGACAGCTCCTCAACAAGAGGAAGTTAATCGAAAAGAAACGAAGTGCACATACTAAAGATCTGATCGAAACATCAAGTGAATTCATCATAAAAACACAATTAGCTCTGCTTGAAGAGGCGTTTACATCATACACGAGTACTTATGAGGAGTTGAGCGGTCTAGATGAAGATGATAAACAACAAGGGCACATGGATGAGCTAATTGAAGTGTCTGATACATATGTTACATTGAAAGCCGATTTTTTGGAATCATTGTCTAATAGAACGGTCGATGAAAACAAACAAACCGTTCAACAGAACATTCGACTACCACCAATCAACTTACCACAATTTGGAGGTAGTTTTGAAGAATGGTATTCATTCAAAGATCAATTTGAAGCAATGGTACATAAGAACAAGCACATAAACAACACCGAGAAAATGTACTATTTGAAGACAAGTTTAGTAGGACAAGCTGCTACAGTGATATCATCACTGTCGTCGGATGCAACTAATTACATAGAAGCTTGGAAGTCTGTAATAAGTAGATATGACAACAAGTATTTGGTGTTTCAAATACACATGCATCATTTGTTCTCACAACCAGCTGCTCAGCAGGAGTCTGCAATTGCATTAAAAAACCTAATTGACTGCACCAATAAACATGTAAGAGCGTTACACGCATTGGGACGCCCTACCATGTATTGGGATGACGTACTCGTTCATCTTGTGTCTACAAAGCTGCCACCTGAGATGAGGAAAACATGGGAAATTGAGTCGACCAGCTATTCTAATTTTCCCACGTGGCACAATTTGAGTGAGTTCATAGAGAATCGAGTTCATGCTCTTGAGGTCATGCAGTTTAGGCATGGTTCTGGTAAGCCAAAGACAACATCAAAAACTGTTTCACATGCTACTGTGGTGAGACAACAGGATCATAAGCAATCTTGTCAAGTATGTTCAGCGCCACATAGCATATACAAATGTTCTATGTTTATGAAAGCTAGTGTCGAAGAACGACGATCATTAGCTCAAAAGTTATCAATTTGTTGGAACTGTCTGCGTCCTGGTCATCAGAAGAAACAATGTACTATGGATAAAGTGTGTAAGGTGTGTCAAGCCAAACACCATACGTTGTTACATTTACTTGAATCCACAGTAGACGATAGTGACGTGAACACACCTTCGGTACCATCATCTACTGTTGAAACAATAGCAGCCCATGGAACATCACGTTCATTGGCTCTGTCATCAGTACTTTTGTCCACTGCATTGGTGCGTGTCCATGGAGCTAACGGACTAAGTGAGCTGTGTCGTGCGCTGTTGGACTCTGCTTCACAATCCCACTTTATTACCCACTCGTTAGCTGCCCGATTGGGTCTAGAACGACGTAGCTCTACCATTGTAGTGGGAGGGATCTCCAATGCCAAGACTAAGGTAACTGAAGTAACGTCATTTCGCATATCATCACGCCTCACTGATATTGACTATACGTTAGATGCACTCATTGCCCCGTGTGTCACTGTGGATTTACCTACCACCAAGTTGAACGTGGATCAATGGTCACACATACAAAACGTCGCGCTGGCTGATCCACAATTCCATACACCTGGAAAGATTGATCTACTCATTGGTGCTGAGTTCTTTATGGATATTGTACAAGATGGTAAGATACGTGGACCGATCGACGGCAGTCCTATGTTACAAAACTCCACCCTTGGTTGGATCGTGTGTGGTGGTCACTTTTCACAACCCAACTGCCATTTAAGTGTCAAGCAGTCAAGCAGTGCTCCTTGTTATGTTGTGTCCTGCCATTCATCTACATCATTGGAAACAACAATCAAAAACTTTTGGGAACTTGAAGAAGTTCCACGACTTACTGTTATGTCACCTGATGAACAGGCATGCGAAGACCATTATGTCGGTACTCATGCCAGAAACGCAGATGGTCGTTACGTACTGCGTTTGCCATTCAAAAACCCAGTCGTAACCAACAACTCATACTGGCTTGCACTTCAGCGCTTAAAGAAGGTTGAATGTTTTTTGTCAAAAAACCCAAATATCGCAGGACAGTATCGTGACTTTATGCTGGACTACGAACAGTCGCATCATATGGAGAAGGTACTACCTCAGGATGAACAGCAGCCACTTGTGTTCATTCCACACCATCACATATGTCGACCATCAAGCACCACAACAAAGCTACGGGTAGTTTTTGACGGATCGAGTGTTATGAGCCACGGTCGGTCACTCAACGACCATCTACATAAGGGTCAAAAATTACAACGCAATATTGTGAGTGTCCTCATAAACTTTAGATTTTCACGATTCGTCTTGAGCGCCGATATCAAACAAATGTTCAGGCAAATTCTGGTGCACCCTGACGACAGGAAGTATCAGTGTATACTATGGCGTGCTGACCCATCTGATCCGATTCAACAATATCGACTCAATACTATCACCTATGGCCTCGTTACATCACCCTATCAAGCCATCCGGACACTACGTCAGTTAGCTGATGACGAGGCGGCTTCACATCCCACAGCATCACACGTTCTACGTCACGACTTTTATGTTGATGAGGTCATGACTGGACGTGATTCTGCAGACGCGTTAGTCGAGCTACAACAGGAACTCATAAGTCTATTAAATCGAGGTGGACTATCGCTACGAAAGTGGGCTAGTAATTGTTCTTCCGTGTTACAGGGAGTTCCAGCCGAACATTGTGTCATGCGACTGCCATTGCAGGACCACCTGGAGATGGACATTAAGCTCTTGGGTGTGTCATACAATGCGACAAAGGATACGTTTTCCATTCAGACAGACGCGACCAAGGCAGCACAACAGCTAACCAAAAGACAACTCCTAGGTGAGGTAGCCCGTGTTTACGATCCTTGTGGGTGGTTGGCTCCCTTGGTGGTCGTGTCTAAACTCATACTACAAATGTTGTGGAAAGAAAAAGTTGCATGGGATGAAAAGGTTTCGGGAGACTTGACATCCATGTGGAATGCACACCGTCTGTCATACACCCACTTGGACACATTCGACATACCACGCTACATCAACCTCTCATCACTGCCGGTCATCTCGTACACCTTGCACGGGTTTTGTGATAGCTCTGAACTTGCGTATGCCGCCGTTGTCTATGTCAGTGCCACAGCTGACATCTGCACTACTACTCTGTTGGCGTCCAAAACACGAGTGGCTCCACTAAAAAAATATCAGTTCCTCGACTCGAACTGTGTGGTGCTCTCCTACTCGCTCAACTTGTCCATGAGCTAGTGCCAACACTGCACGTTCAATTAACCCGTGTGTACTTGTGGAGTGACTCCACCATTGCTCTCCATTGGATCGCCAGCGAACCGTATAGATGGACCACATTTGTAGCGAATCGCGTCACTCAGATACAGCAGCTCGTACCAGATGCCACTTGGAAACACGTTCGATCTGGTGACAACCCTGCAGACGTCGCGTCAAGAGGCTTGACAGGTGACCAACTAATCAAATGTGACCTGTGGTGGCACGGACCGACCTGGCTGCCTGATCAAGATAGTTGGCCCAACAGTACTCCTCTGCTGACTACATCAACTGTGCCAGAGGAACGTTCAGTGTCTACTACTGCCGCACCAACTGTCGTGACCTCTGATATTATAACCAGGTACTTCGACTTTGATCGTTTATTACGCATCACCTCTTATCTCTTACGGTTCATGAAAAACTGCCGAACGAGCGCTGAGAACCGGGTCCACGGATTCATCAGTGTGCCTGAGATGAAGCAGGCATTGCAATATTGGCTTAGATCTGCGCAGGAACTAGAATTCTCTGCTGAGCTGAATGATCTACGCCAGAACACCGTGTTGAAATCCACCAGTACATTAAAAAGTCTAAATCCGTTTCTAGATTCAGCCGGTCTTCTTCGAGTTGGTGGTCGCTTGAGTCAGTCTGATCTACCATATGACCATAAACACCCCATCATCCTACCCAAGACGCATCATCTAACACTGTTGATTGTAAGGCGCGAGCACATCCTCAACCTACACTCTGGTCTGAACGTAACCATGGCTGTTCTACGTGGACGTTATTGGATCATACATGGACGTAGTACAATCAAACGGATCATCCATCAATGTGTACGCTGCTATCGCTTTCGGCCACTCAAAAGCGAACAGATGATGGCTGATCTACCACCCTCACGCATCACCGTATCAAAACCCTTCAGACAATGTGGAGTTGACTATGCTGGGCCGTTTACTACGCGCTTGCCGCGAGGCCACACGCGTGTTTACACCAAGAGCTACCTAGCACTCTTCGTCTGCCTTGTTACAAAGGCTGTTCATCTCGAGGTGGTAAGTGATTTAAGTACAGAAGCATTTCTTGCAACATTGCGCCGATTTGTATCCCGACGTGGGTACCCTTCCATCATAATGAGTGACAATGGGACAAACTTTGTTGGTGCCAACAACACACTGCGTGAACTGTACACGTTCCTTCGGTCTACAAATGTACAAGACAAGGTAAGCGGTTACTGTTTACAGCGTGAGATGACCTGGCAGTTCATACCACCAGCTGCCCCACATATTGGTGGCATATGGGAGGCCAACATCAAGTCCTGCAAGTCTATTCTGAAGCGCATCACTGGCCATCAGGTCTACACGCACGAAGAACTTGAGACACTGTTCTGCCAGATTGAGGCGATCCTGAATTCCAGACCACTGTGTGCTATGTCGATGGACTCTAGTGATTACTCTGCACTTACACCTGGACACTTCTTGATTGGAGAACCTTTGCTTGCTGTACCCAGTCTTGATTATCTCACCACACCCTGTAACCGTCTTAACCGCTGGAAGTTACTCCAACAGCAGCAACAGCAATTCTGGCGACAGTGGTCTTCCGAATACCTCAACACTCTACAACAACGCCTCAAATGGCGTACACCACAGTCTAACCTGCAAGTGGACGATCTTGTCGTTGTCAAGGACGACAACACCTCACCTCTTCAATGGACATTGGCTAGAGTCATCGCCACACATCCAAGCACACATGACAGCCTGGTGAGAGTTGTCACCATCCGCACTGCAGATTCCACTTACAAGAGGCCCATTACTAAACTTCTCAAGTTACCTCTAGAATCTTAGTTAATCCTAGTTACCTGAACATTTTCTCTCTTTTTTTTTGAGACTGACGCTCAAGGTGGGCGGTGTTAATTAAATGTTAATCCTTGTTGTTTAAACGTTAATTCTGTTATCAATATTATTTATTACTATTGTTATTTTATCATTATACTTTATCACTCTCAATTTGTTCGATTGACCTAGTGCGGTTACAACGAGATATGTGAGGTTATGTTATTATCTTTTAGTCATGTATTGTGCCCTGTACGTTTTGTAATACTTTTTATACATTATTCAATACAGTCCGCTGATGCCGCAAAGAGCAAAAGCACGTTTTCTACATTACTATAATGCGTTTTTACTTTTTACCTAATTACCCAACAAAGTGAATCTTATGTTGTCAATAAATCATGGTGTAGAATGACGTCCATGGGACATTACTAAATAATATTTAAATATTATTATGTTAAAGCGTGGTTTTCTTGAAAACCTTTCTTTATTGAAAACAAAAATGTTTAAAATACTCATAGTTTGCTTATAAATTAAAATATAATAAAAAGCCCATAAGGTTGTCTAGAAAATAATCTTGCCTTTAGATTTTATAAGAGGCCAATTCACTCTAATTTTTAAACTAACGGAGGTACACGTGTTCTGCGTTGCGTAGAATTTTCTATGTTACGCACTTGTAAGATGCAGACAACACTTGGTAGTATCAAGTCTTCTTAATTGAAAACAAAAATGTCTTAACTCATAACTAAATAAACCGATTCAATAAAAATAAAACAGAATGGGAAAATCTCTGATGGTTGTCAACACGTTCACTACCGACTAGTCTATAATATTTTGTAGGTAATACCAGCAGTTCTCAGTCATTTTTAAGGCCGCATCCCTCTAAATATTATCACCGAAATTGTTATCGACCATTTTATTATGATATATCAAGGTTAGGTATGTACTGGTCGAAATTTAAAAAAAAAAAATGTTAACTACCTACAGTTTGAGAATCGCTGGGCTGTACTAAACAATAAGCCCCAAAGATATTGTTAAGTCATACGTATATTCTATGGTAACTATTAAAACGTTGTCTTTAACCATGGTATACTGACTTATAGTATCCACCGCAGTGACAGATTAATCCCAAACTATGGAGGGTAAATGAGAAGGTTGAAATGTCAGACGAGACGTACTATTGGTTCGTGATCATGTAATATATGCGACGATAGTCTAACTAGTTGGTGACCTGCAAGTTTGACATACAATTATATTAATAATTATTTTTAAATTTTTTACAATGTTCGTTTAGTTTTTTATTTGTACCTATTATACAAAAAAAAAATATATTGTAATAGTTACACATAATGTACAATATATAAAAAGTACGGATTAAAAATGTAATGAATACACGGGTACTTATAAATTTATAATTAATTTTAAAACAATTTTATAATAATTTTCAACTTTAAATATCTATACACATAAGTAATCATAAATAAGTAATAAATTGGTTTTTTTTTTTTCATATAAACCATTATATTAATTGTTATTTATTTTTCAATCGTTTTTTAATATTATTTAACGGCGCACAGAACGCACAATATCGAGCAGAGAAACATTTAGTTGGCATTGTATTATAGTGACGGGCTTACATTATTATTATTTATTATTAGGTATACTTCAAATGGCCTTTTAAAATAAATTATCACTGTAAGTATTATAAAGTATTGAATGAGATAAATTTCTTGGATTTTATAATAATTGTATATTATTAATAATAATTATTAATAATTTATTATTATTAAACAGCTGGCCGTTCAATTTTTTTAATAGAAAATAATAATTATGATTTTATTTTTTCATTAACGAATTTTCATCCGATTATTAAATTAGGTACCTTTCAAACATTTTCCCATCACCTCACCCTCCCCCCCACACACCACACATAGTTGCGAATGTGTTCTTGTAACGTACCTAGTTATATACACTGGTTTATGTCATTAAAATTTAAATAGCATGGACAAATATTATCGTTGGCGATATAAAGTCATAAGTGAGATAAATTTCTTCTTCGGTGCAATTATAACTCATTATAATGATCGACTGACCATTAGTTTTATAATAATCGAAAATTTATTATGTAAATATTATTCAATTATACCTTACAAACATATTTCGGTTTTTATTTTTTAATAATCGAACGTAGCACGAAATTCACAACTTCTAGCAAAGAAACACGTCTATTTGGCCGCAGGTTTATATCATCATTAACGTTTAAATGACATATAAAAATAGTGATCGTCGATGAAGCGTATAGTGAGATATTGAAAGATACTTCAAAGATTTAATAATAATTTAATCGTTCTTAAATCTTTAACGGCTAACTGTTTTTCCAATCAATTTTTCTAATCGAAAATGTGATTTTTTATCTTATTCATAAACCCAATTTTAAATTATACTTAAAATCAACTTAGCATTTATAAATATTACACACACGCCTCTTACTCCCCCCCCCCACCACTGTATGAGACACGTAGATAGCCAATTTTTCTATTTTCCAGAAAAAAAATGTATTTTTTTCAAAAATTAAATTTAGATCCTTGAACAAAGTATCGTCATGGTTTTATACTTCTCTTAGTTTTTTCATGCACTTAGGCATTATGCTAATGCTTGCATTTAATTATTTTTCTAGAATCCAAGTGTAAACATGTAGTTACTGCATTCAATATAAATTTAGATCTTATTAATTTTACTTACATTTTAGATTCTGAGCGGATACCTACAATATTTAGGTAAGCTGTATTGATTTTCCAGAGCTGCAACAAACTAATTTAAGAAATAATAACAAAAAATTATAAATATAAATTATTACATTAATTTGTTGAACAAAATTAATGATTTTCAAATGTATTATTACCTTCGCCCGAATGACAACCGCCCAGAAAAAGATAGCACTTAAATACACAACAGGTATTGAATACTTTTACTAACTTATTTAAGGGCGGCTCTTGCAAATCCATAGAAGGTTAGGGTATGGGGTGCCCGTCATATGAGAGTCCATATTATATATTAATAATATGTCTAAAGTAAATTTAAATTGTACCTAATCATGCAAAAATATACATAAAATAATATTACCGTCCTTATATGTATATCGAACGATTTAAATAGAGAAGATTTTGTTTCGTAAAATTTTGAGAAATAATTTACACCAATAAAAATACGCACTTACATATTATTAATTCAACTTGGTCGATTGTTCTTATTATAAATTAAAAAGTTCGAAATTCAAGTGCACGTGGTTTTAAAAACGAACTAATTCAAGTTAAAGTCTATCACAACAAGGTATTTTAACTTCCTAAAAGAAAATATTATATTGTTGCAATAAGTGTAATGGGCGTTTGAAAAAAATATGAATTATACATGTATGAAAACACACAAAAATAAATAATAAATAAATAATTCATAAAATAATGTGAATTTAGTTTTTATCATATTAATATACTGTCAAATAACAAAATACTATTGGCAATTTTCGCAAGTGATTTGTTTTTCAAATCTATAAATATTTAATATTATATTCAATTTCTAAATGTTTCTGATAAATAATTTTAAAGATTATACTCTTCAGAACTCTGTACAAGTTACCCTTGTGGCTTGTGGTATTGGCCGCTGTATGTTATACTTCAGTACGTATATTATAAACCCTATAGTGATATAAGTAGTAAGTACCTAGGTAAATAATAATGTATAAATTTTAACAACTTATTATGAGAATTGGTTAAAATTCCTGACACACTTTTCTATCCCTCAACTTTCTGTACACCATTTTGTTAATTTGTACAACGATTTCATCATAACAGTATAATAAAATATAAAGTATTTTATTATTATAGGATATGTAGGTACTTAGTATTCTCACACAGACTAGCTGTGGTTACAAAACGCCGTTAGGTTTGTCCATATCAATGCATTGAAATAGCTTGGGCAGAATAGTCACATTTTTATGTTATTCAATTTTGATATAATATGCAATATATTGCGATTATCGCATTAAATTTGATAAATTTTATTTTATCATACGCCGAATGGAGAACGAACACATATTGTCTTAAATGTCATGTACCAGTATAGGTACTATTGTTAAACTATTTATTATTATTATCTGGTATTGCCCATCACCTGTGTGGCTTTATTAATGGACATGAGTGCTCAACAGAAATACCATGTTTGAAATTCAGAAATTATATTTTTTTTTGTGATTTGGTTTTCTGATGATTTACATTCATATATTTTAGATTCTGAGTGAAACGATGAATGTATTGATTTTACAATGATGTGTGTTTTTTTTTTTTATTTTTTTGTGTCTGTGTACACGATAAGTAGTCGAAATAATGCTTCGATTTTCGACTTCAGTATCTTGTTTGATTGGAAAGTGAATATCGTTGGTGCATTGGGGAGGTCAAAATTTAAAATTCACAGTACTTTTCAAAAGCGCCAAGAAAAACAAAAGAAAAATTAAGGAAAAACGTGAATTTTTAAGCAAAATTGATTTTTCAGAAAATTGAATTTGGTTTTTGGTGTAACTTCAAAACAAATGACCGTAGATACATGAAATTTTCACTGGTTGTTTATATTTGCATCTTCTATACACGATAACATTTTCAAAATATTTTGATTTATTTTGAACAGTTTAGGGACATTTTCATTTTTCATTTTTTTTTAGTTTTTTTTCTAGAAATATCAATAAAATTTTATTTTTTGGTTAAAAAAACTTGAAAATTTAATAGAAGGCTCCTAGTATATTGTTTCAAAGGCAGATGAAAAATATTAAAAATCGTTAGTCACAGTTTTTTTTTATAAGCATTTAAAGTTCAAATTTTGACAAAATATGGAAAAATCACGAAAATTAGCAAATTATTTTGAGTTAAGAATTCGTAAAAATTTTTATTTTTAAATCTAAGATATGAAAATGTAATACAAGATTCCTTATAAGATTGTCTACCTGTATCAATAAAAAAATCTCTACC